GTTTTCTGGAGTAGTGTTATGTGGAGGACTGAGAAATAATATTTTCTAAGACTTCACATCTGATACAGGTTAGATGTTATGATGGATTAATAATTAAAATGTTTCGTTCTTATTTTTTAAAAGTATACTTTATTTAATTTTAGGTATACGCGAAATGTGTTCCCTAGGTTTAATTGGAAAGTTAGTGACTGGTCCCTGGATGAAAAAATTCTATGTTGTGCCAGGACAAGGACTTGACTATTTGTCTGACATCTAAGTGATCAAAAATGTTTGCAATGCACTTGTTGAAAGCAGCGCAGAAGCTCTTTCCCTTATTCACCGAAAGACAGACTTTTTTTGGAGGTGATCTCAATGATCCAGTTTTTCAATAACTCATAGACTTTTGCCCAAGAACTGATGAAACGAGTAATGCATTAGCCAGCTGTCTAAATGCTGTCATTAGTGTTATTAACCGTCAGTATGAGCGACAGTTTACTATGACTTTAACTGAACTCAAGTCCCAGACATTATCAGCACGTCAACATAATATTGACTGTGAAGAACTTGTGGGTATGTTTAGTGCTGCAAAGCAAAAAGCTCTTAATGCCACAATTTGTTATTTGTCTTCGAAAATTCGCGCATGCAAGAGTACGGTATTGTGTGTTTTTTATTATGTATTTGTATATGTGTTAAGGTTATATTTTGTACGTATTTATATTTAATTAATGTGTAAATCACTGTTATATGTGAAGTGTATTATGTGTTATGCTTTTATAGTTTAAAAGTATTTATTATGTTGTTTCCATGGTTTCAAAGTGGTGTAACTTGGCTTTGTTTACAGCAAGGGTGTTGTCTTTGCTAGCCAAGCAGTGTACTTTAAATAATGTGACTTGGCTTTTTTTATGGCAAGAGTGTTGTCCTAGTTAGCCAAGCGGTGTACTGACATGAAACACATAATAAAGTCGGTTTGTAATCACAAAATGTGTACATATAAGTATGTTATGCTATTAGTAAATAAAAAAATTTCAATAAAATCTGGATAACTCAATAAACCTTAATAACTTGAATTAAATTTAAAATTCCAATTGATCCAATTGTTTATAGAAAAATGCTTTCAATAATCCTAAACATTTTCTAATAAGCTAATTTTTTGGTCCCTTGGTGGTTTCAGTTATTAGTGTTTACTGTAACGTTTTGTGCTATTTGTTAATCGTGTGATGTTATTGTTGTGATGTTTTGTGTTGATAGACGACTTGGCTTACCTTCACGTCGGTGTCTATCGTTAAAAATAATTATTGGATTGTTTCATTACTAAAACTGATTATATATAATCATTCACTAAAAGCCAAAGATTCAATTTTTATATTAAAATGTAAAGATTTATCTTTTTTAGATTATTTATAGCGTTGCTTTTTTTAAAAAGAGTTTATAGTCCTAACTTGCAACAATAAATCTTGAAATTTTTCACAAAAATACGCACACAAAAAAATCTCTTAAAAAAGTTTGTTATTTGTTATCACATTTTTGAGTTTTTATTTAAATTAACTGAGTACGTATACATTAATGCGTAATAAGTGTTTTCAATAATTTTGTTACATTTTTAGGTTGAATTCCTTCTCTTATTGTTGATCGTTTTCTAGAAGCCAAAAGGAAGTTTTGTTAATTTTTATACCATTTACTAAAGGCTATACAATAAAAAAACAATTCTATTTGATTTTATAAAGTACTTCCGTTACTTTTTAATGATAAATATATTAATTTTTTTTTTTTTTAATTTTTTCTTTTTTTTAAATGTAAATTTTTTGTTTTTTCTCAAGAAAAATGTGTTTTCCTTCTCACATAAATTTGCAATTTTTTTCTTATTGGAATTATAGTGTTGTATTACATACATTGCTCGTTTTGCTTTGTTTTTCTTAATATTTTCGTTATGTTTTTATATATGAATAGAAACCGTTTATACTTTTATTACCATGGTAAATACGGATCGAGATTTTCGGTACAAATCATAGCTATATTAGTTAAGTAATTTGCAAAAACTGGTTTTAAAAATAACTTGAAAGAATTAGTTAAGAGTTTGTTGCAGAAGAGTTGCTTTAAGAAATGTCAAACAAATAGAGCTAACTTATTTGACATAACTAGGATCCGTGATCCGTTTTTATGTCTTCCTAATGCTTTAGAAGGAAATCTTGCTTTAAAAGGAAAATGTGAGGCCTTTAAAATATTAATAAATTAAAAATTTTATTAATTTTACAGCCTTGAAATTAATTACATCCTCAAAAAATACTGGAAGAAATGTTAAGCAAATTTCATCTCTGTTAAAGATACTTTAGTTATGTTAATATTTTTTCTTTTTGAAATTGTTACTTCGTACTGATATATTATTTACAGAATAAAATTAAACTTTAAGATAAAGTCAAACCAATAGAGCTAACTTATTTGACATAACTAGGAACCGTGACCCGTTTTCTGTATCCTCTTATGTATTTTTAATAAATTTTAATGAGAGATTAAAAAAAAATTCGTTAATGAATCTTTTTGCAATTGGACTCGTTCCACTATTATTTAAGGCCCTCCCAAAAAATACACGCTTGCTTCTTTTTAAATATGTTTTTTTATAAGAGTGTAATTAAAATTTTTTGTGAAACAGAGTAAAAACAATAAAATAGGGACAGAAAAAACATCAGATAGTTCAGCGACACGTTTTTTCCTATATTCTATAAATTTTATACTTGATAGAAAGAAGCGTTTTACTGTTAAAAATATTTGTCTTAAAAATGTACGCAATATTACGTTTTTATATGATATTCGCAATATTTGTTATATCCTAAGGAAATTAATTTGATTTTTTTTTTTTTTTTTACATAAGAAATATTTTGATTAACTAAATTATTATATTCGCTACTATGACACTTTATGCAATAAAAAATCGAACCCGAGAAAAATACTGCGCAAGTTTGCAAAAATGTTCTATTACAAAACTACCGTTAGCCGAACGTGAAAATTTAATGTTGGTCGCAGTTTTCTTAAAGTAATCTTTGTTGTTAAATTTTGATACTTAAACTTGCATAACTTTTTAAAGAATCATTCTTTTTTTTATGAAATTTTTTTCCAATGATATATATTAGTCTTATATATAAACGGTTTAAAATTTTTATGTACGAACCTAATATATATATATATTTTTTTTGAACCCGTATTGTTCAACAGTCCGGGTTTTAACTTTTCCTTTAGCGCTCTAACCATCTGAGCCACAATATAATATATATATATATATATATATATATATATATATATATATATATATATATATATATATATATATATATATATATATATATATATTTATAAATATATATATATATATATATTTATATATATATTCATATTTATATATATATATATATATATATATATATATATATATATATATATATATATATATATATATATATATATATATTTATATATATACATATATATACACATATTTATATATATATTCTTATATGTATATATATATATATATATACATATATATGTATATATATATATATATATATATATACATATATATGTATATATATATATATATATATATATATATATATATATATATATATATATATATATATATATATCTACTATAGCATATTTATATGCGCAATTGCTCACTTTTTTTACTAGCCTAAATTAAGTGAGCGTTTTTAGAAAACGATGAGGGAAAACGAAGAATAATGAATGAAAAGGTTGCTGACCCATACCAAACCCTCAGTCGATGTACGTAAATTATAAATACAGTGAAAATTCACTGTACTTAAGGATGCGTTTTTTGATAAATACCGTGAAAATCTAATTTTAGAATATTTACGATAAATTTACTTTCGTTTTAACAGTTCGCATGTTACAGCATGGGAAGATATATTAACAAAAAGTTTTGAAGATTTAAATGATGCAGAAATGTCTGTAATAGAATACTGCAGACCAAATTTTCACCCTTTGAAAATTGATTCCAAAGAAAAAGTTGATCATTTCAATAAAAAAGTAAAAGAAAGTTCGCAGATATTTTGTATTCCTATTGATGCTATATATGGCTGCAGGTAAGCCTAATACAATGTAAGACCTCCTGCATTTGAAGTAAAAGAGCGCATTGCAAAATTTAAATAAGATATTAACTCAGGAACGCTGAAGCCTTTTTAACGCATTACCTTATTGTTATTATTTTTATTGTTGTTGTTGTTATTATTGTAATTATTATTATTATTATTGCTATTATTATTAAAATTATCATTGTTATTATATTAAGCCCTATATATATGGCTAATTCCAGGATAGAAGAGATGAATTTTGTGTTTGAAAAATTGTTTTTTTATAAGACATTTTTTTCTTCAATTATATTTAAAAGTCCATAATCATCCGCATGGGCCTGAGCAGTTACAGATAACCTAAATAGACATGGTTTAAAAACAAGACATAGAGATATCTACAACATAAAGCAAAGAATGAAATTTAAAGGTTTTATGTTAGTTGAAAGTTTAATTGTAAAAAGTATAAATTTGAGAAATTAATCTTTTCTGGATGGTTATATTTGCCTAATTAATAAATAGGTCCTGCACTTGAAGAAATTATGAAGGTTCTTGATTTACCAGACATTATGTCTCACATTGACGCCGATCATGATAGAAAAGTAGAATGCATCACTTGGACAACAACAGAACAAATAAAACTGTTAAAATGATTTCCTGAGTGTATCATGCTGGATGGCACCTATAAGGTTTGTTTTTTCATCAGATATGCGACCTAACATTAGGTATGTAGCATGAATTTTTTAAATAGTTAAAATTTTAAACTGTTTTATAAACATTATAAAGATTATGTTTTTAGCTCAATTATAACTTCTACATAAGCAATAAATTTAAGAAAAAAATTAAACAGTAGTTTAATTTTTTTAAATAAATAAATTAATAGTAAATAAATTTTTCATTATTGATTAACAATTTCTCTATGCCATTATACACTATGGCTGTTGTGGATCAAACTGGAATGGGACGACCGGTAGTACAATCATTAGTTTATCGTGAGGACCATTCACATCTACAATTGCTAATGACGCATGCTAGAGAATGGGCTGGAATTGAAACCTTTAAGATTCCATATTTATGGTTGATAAACCTCAAGCAGAGATATCAGGACTACAGTCAGTTTTTCCTGGAAATAAAATATTTCTTGTCGCTTTCACGTAGCAAAGGCCTTTATTTATCAAATTAAAAAGAGTAGATTGACAACTAATGATCAGGATTTGTTGTTCAAGGTTTGTAATTAGAAAATTGTGCTTAATTAATCTTATTGTTCACCTTCATCTATACATTTAAAAAGTTTCTGAACAAAATTGTTAATAATAAGTCACTTCCGTTTAAAAATATTTTATTAGGCTACTCAGAAATTAATTTATGGCAATCAGGCAACATGTGATAAAGCTTTATTATACATTAAAGAAAGTTTCCCAACATTTTTTGTATATCTGCGAGAAAACTGGTTGGCTATACCAGAAATGTTCATTGGTCATTATAGAAAAGGTCAAATGCATTTAGACAATCATACCAATAACAAACTTGAAAGGTTTTTATAATTAGTACATTACTAAAATATTGCTATTACAAAACCATTTCAAGCATCAAACATATCCATAAATTGTATTACTGAACCAAAGACTTCCCATTATAAATTTATTATATCCTTATTTGTTAATTATTTTATATTCATTTATGTTTAATTTATCGACTAGATATCATAGAACTTTTAAAGATGTTGGCCTTTAGTCACGCATGTCACCCGGGAACCTTATCGATAAAGTCCTTAATGTTAAACATGTCCAAATGGCAAAATCTAAACATGCTGACTTTGATCAACAGTTGAAAGTTAACAAGAATCTTCCAGAGCCGCTAAAATTTTATTCGCGTCATGTATCCTCTTTTATTCTTCATCACCTCATTGAACAGTATGAGCAAAGTTTAAAATGTGACTTGAGTTCAACTGAGGTAAGTAATTTTCATTGAATCTACTGATATTAATTTCACTTTTTTTTGTGACTATTTCATGTCCAATAAGTGTTGTGAATGTGCTGGAAAAAATTATAATGATTACCTGTAAATTTAATAGTAAAAATTGACAAATTACTAGTTTGAAAATATAAAGCTGATTGAAGATTAAGTTAGAAGATTAATCTCTGCAACCTTAAGTTGGAATGTTAATCTAAAAAAAAAAAATTCTTATTTGCTTTTGAGTTGACTATAGATAGCCAAATATAGAGCTCGTGCTTCTATTTGTCCAGGCATGGTTCAAAAAAGTATTGCGGCAGCTTTTTTTCTTTTCAATTTTTTTGGTCGTAATTTTTTTTTTTATTATTGACATTAGTTTATTTTAAAAAACTTCCTATTCAAAATATCTTGACTTTGCGTACAATATTAAATCAATGTAGTTCAAGTTTATTTAAAAATTTGGAAGCTGTTTTTGGAAATTAATTATAGTATAGTTTATATTTATAAACCGCATTTCAACCAACATTCAACCGCATTCCAACTGCATTCGCAACCAACAGTTTATAAGGAAAAATACGAGTTCCGGCACGTTTTTTAGCACAATGATTTTTGAAACCTTTTTTCCAAAAGAAAAAAAACTCTGTATAGAGCTATTACTTACATTTAAATATGTCAACTATAATGATTTGCAAATAAATAAAAATAATAACGTAATTAACAGCATCTTGTATTCACCTACATATCCATTTCTTAATAACTGTAAACATAATAGAGACTCCTTTCCTACACACTCAACTTGTCCACTTTTCAGTATTATTGACTTGTTCATTCTTGACTTCACAATGGGTAACTATTGTCTTGTTCAAGTTTATCATAAGCGATTTTGCTTCCATTTTATCTTTTCAACAATTTTTTTTTAAATCACTTTTTTTTTTCTTTGACAAATAGTTTAATGGGAATGGTGTTAATATTTACTTTCAGAAAGTGATAAAATATATGAGTTAAAAAAATATTTTTTATGACTTTCCAATGGAAAGTGATTGAAAAGTGTTAGGAAGTCAAGCTTCATAAATAGCAAAATTTTAATTTTATTACTGTGTAAAAACTTAAAGAAAGTGATTAATTTTTAAATACTTTCCACTTTCCGTAAATTAAAAATAGATTGTATTTAATCTATTTCGACTACCCGGAAAGTATAAATTGTATAATTGAAACAATTTTATTATCATTATAAAAACATAGGTTATTTAAAAAATTTTAAAATCTAATTAATTTTAACTTGGTTTTCAATCGGTAATCAAAGTTTTACTTGTTGTTGATGTTAAAAAATTGTCGTACAGCAGTTTCCATTTAATAGTCTGAAGATTAAATACATATATTATGTAAACTACTATTATTCTAGATTTCTTTGCATTAAAACAGAGTTAACTTTTTAACAATTGTTAATTTTAATTATGAAAATCCCATGTCTAACATAAAAAATCAAGTACTACTATTAATACGGATATAGGGTTATGTTTGTCTTATATTTACACAAAAAATGTAAATATTTCAAAAAAAATTACTTTAAACACCTTATTGTATAGAATTGTTAAAATTTGTTTATAATCTAATATTTTATGGTGTTTTAGGATGAAAATTCATTATTGGTAATTCAACTTATTTTTACATAATTGACTGGACTTGTGTCTGTGATGCAGCATCAGGGTTTGGAGTGCCATATGCACATGTTCTTTTTACCTTAAGAACTAAAAATGTTACTGTTAATGATCTAGATCTAATTCATAAAAGGTAACCTTATGTAATCTAATACATTACTGCAAGACCTAAATACAAATTTGTTATTTGCTGTTTGCTTTCCAAGATTGCTGTATGTATTTATTATAATCAATAAAATATTTAAAGTTTATTATTTGAACAAACTAAAATGGATTAAATTTAAATAAATTTAATTTATTAAATTTATTTAAATTTAATCCATTTTAATAAATAAAAATTATTTGAATAAATTAAATTTATTTAAATAAATTAAATTTATTTGAACAAATTAAATTTATTTGAATAAATTAAATTTATTTGAATAAATCAAACTTTTTTTATATTGAATTTAGCGATATTTTTTTATGTTACTTATTCAAAAATTCTTTATTCTAGCAAAACAAAAAAAGATAATTAAAATAATTGATGTGAAGTTCTATTTAAAATGCCACTTTTAAATCAATACACTTTTTTTTTTTTGGAATTTTTTTAAGGATAACAAATGTTGTCAGAAGTATACTATACCCTTTTTGTTTATGTTAGTTTCATCTGTTTGTGTTATTTCCTTAAACACAGTTCAATTTTATAGTGATGGCATATTTTTCAGTTATTATACCCCACATTGATATGTTTTTATAAGGAGGAGCCCTGATAAAATTGCTTACTCAAATCTACTATCATAATGAATGACTAAATGCTACAATAATGAAATGAATTAATCGTTACTATTGCAATGAAGTGAAGGAATAAATCCTTTATTGAAATTAAAAAACTCAATTCAATTGAGCAAAAGTTGTCAAACATTTTATCTAGTTTTAACTTTAGTCTGCTCTTGCAATTAAATTAATTAACAATTAATTTAAATTCTTAGGTGGATTACCCATGATCCTGCGGCAATTAAGGTAAGTTTTGAATCAACATCGCATCTTACATCCAGTATAGCATCATTGCCTCTCAGTTGTGTTACATCTAAGCAGAGATTTAATACAGCAATGAGTTACCTACAACCAATAGCCTCCTTGCTCTCTGAAATGCCACCCAACAAATTTGAACATGCAATTAAGTGGTTAGAATCTATTTATCAACAATGCATTTCTGGAGAATGGGAACTTATGGTATGTCAATGGATCTTATATGATTTTAGCTTTGAAATATTTAAAAACTATTTGCTTTATTTTAGTTGCAAGGTGATCCTTCCTAAAAAATTTTCCTTATACAGAAGATCAATCCTCAAATAAAATCACAGTAATTCAGTTAACTTTATGTGCAAACAAAATCACAGAAATTCAGTCAACTTCAAATGAAAATGAAATCACAGAATTTCAGCCAACTTTAATTGCAAATGAAAGCACAGAAATTCAGTCTATTTCAAGTGATCCTATTTTGACCTCACTTGAATGCAGAGATAATAAAAAATGTGAAACAGTTTTTCTAGAGAAACCTAATAATTTAGTTTTGAGACAAACCCAACGGAATCCACCTGGCCGTGCAGCTTCAAACAAACAGAAACTGTTTGATAGAAAAACAAAGCCATTTGAAAAATTAGGTTCTTATGAAAAAGATTAAATTCGTCTTAGTTGGTTTGTAGAAAAAGCTATTGTCCAGCAAGTTTTGCATGGTAGTGCAAAAATCACCACACAACAATTTTTACCACAATTATCAAATAAGATTGCAGATAAAAGAGCAAGTCTTTATGAAGCAAAACAGTATTTTAAAGATTCTGCATGGGCTGAAGTCAACAAACAGTGTGAAGCTGTGAACATTGAAAACTGGCCATGTCAAGTGCGCTC